ATATATATATATATATATCGTCACAAACAGAACTGCCCGGTAAACCGTAGGCAGAGAGAGAGAAGTCAGCTGTCGGGCAGTCGTTGATGCTTAACCACAGCCGGGGTTAAGGTGGATTATCACTTACAGTGTAATCAGTGAGGAGATTCTGCTGACTGTTGATGGTTCAGCCTCCTGATGAGTCGGTGACAACTCCGACGAAACAGTTTGTCACAGCCCCTCGTTTCTTGTCCTCTTCTCCCTCTCTGCCCACGGTTTACCGGGCAGCTCTGTTTGACGATATATCTCTAAATATATATATATATATATATATATATATATATAAGTGTGAAGTACCTGTTCTTATCAGTTTAATATATGATCCGTGGTCCATCGGCCACACAAACAGTGACAAACTGACCAGTTCTGACTTGGCCGATGGCGAGTAGTGCAACTACGCCCGTATGCTGGTTACGAACTTAATACAAAAAGTATTCCAAAAGAAGAAGAAAAAAAAAAGCACATTGTGGCACTGGGAATGGCTGGACGACTCGTACGCGAAGGACGGCGAGAGTTGCCATCACTCACCAGGAGGGCTCAAGTTGTAAAGGATCTGCGGTCCGTTGAGTCCAGCATCGCTCAGCTGCTTCAAAACTTCTGGAGCCGCGCCTCCCGCCATGATTATGATTGATCGAAGAGATGGATGAGCACGTGCACACAGTACACTCTTTCAAGTCCTCTGTCCTGGCGGACGAATTCGGGCACGAGCACAGGGTTTCCGTAAGAGAACAAGGAATGCAGCAGAGACTCACTTTGTTAGGTCACAGTACCGAGCACAATCCTTCCGCACAGCCAAACTGGAAACAAGATGCATATGCACAATGTGCACAAGGTCACTCCCTTAACATTCGCTCCATTTCCAACACTGTACCAGAGTGCTCACGTCGGACGATCTGAGCCAATACTCGCACTAGGACCGTTTGTTGACGGCATCTAAACATGAAGTGCTGGGAGAAAAGATGCCCGACAATGCCGACATTCATTCTTGTGAGTATTACCCTTCGAAAGACTTGGAAAGGACCGGAAACATACTTCGAATGCTACATACATCCCAGGCTGGCTATTGTTGAACCAGGACAAAATATTGGATGAATACGAGGCATGACAAGGAAGAGGGCAAGGGACAAGACAACAACAAAAGGCGGGACCAGGGACAAGATACCATTCACAGAGATAAGTGAATCAAGACTACGTAGTACCAGCAGGCAATTGCGTTAGATGATGCGCGCAGACAAGTCTACGATCATACTCAGGGAATACTCACACTAGGACTTTTTGTACTAAGCTCTGGACGAGCTTGCAGTCAGATTCATCCGGCTCGCATATGTTGATTGCAGTCAGGTGCATTTAGAAAAAAAACGGTGTGCCCTCATTCATCAAAAAACCTTAGCACTCACGGCATACTGACACTACCGCTGAGCACTTTCGTCGATAGATCCCACGGAAAAAAGCAGTGCCACGCTCGGTAATGAAAGTCTTGAGGCCCTGGTCCCGCCAACACGGATTCCTCGCTTAACTTTTCTGACCGTAGACTGCGAAGATCGACGACTGCAACCCAACGTAGAATCCAGGTATTAAGTGGGATTTCCGGTCTGTCCATAACACGGTAAGGCGCTGCTGTACTCCTACTCGCAACGCCTGGATTGACATCGCGTGAGAAATTTTTTCGGAGAAAAATGCGATGATGAGCATCGTGAACCAGTTCAAGCGAAGCGCACACACTCACACAAGGACACTTCGAACGGGATCTGTTTGCAACTACGACCAGATGCACTCATGGGAGACCTACTGCGACTTGCCGAAACGGTTGTGACCTTGGCTCGTGGTCCGCGAAGGGAAAAGGGAATGAAGATGGAGCATAAAGTCGTAATCACAATCATTCACCCAATTTCTACGGCATTCTCTAGATCGACATCCCGGAGCGAGCAAAGAGACGACTCCACTGCTTAGCTGACATTGCGCGAGAAGCACGGCTCACCTGATTCAAGACAGTCCGATGGCCAAGTTCAACCCAGTGGCTCCCGCACGAACCGCCTGCCCCCTATCACTCACTGAGTCGCTGCTAGCAACAGGGATATGGAGGTCCCACGACATTGGCTAGAAGAGGGAGTAATGTGCTCGTAACCTGCAGCTTTGGCCGACTGCTTCGTGCGATCAGTTCGCCTTTTAAATGTCGTAGAGATCGAAGTGGTCGTGCGGCTCGTACCCTTTGCCGTCCATATGCTCATTGCTGTCCACCACGAGCGCGCGCTGCACTGGTGGGAGAGAAATGGGCAGGCCGCATACTGAGATCAGTAGGCGGGAAGCACCACATACGCAAAAAGAGCCCAAAAAAAAAAAAAAAAAAAAAAGGATACCCAAAAAAAGGCTGTGACGATCATTGATGCAGATCGGACAATTCGGCGGACCTTAGTACCGGTCGATCTCCTGCCGACCTGGACAGCAGAGGCCCACGGGTGACCTGACGGAACTTTAGGGACCTCACACCAGGACTGTCACTGTGACGGCGATTAATCCCGGCACAACGCTGATCGGGCAAGTGCAACGTACGGGTACGCCCTTCGTTTCACCTGGATGATCCGACAAAAGTTGCTGGCTTGGCTTGGCTTTGCGATCTCGGATCTCGCTGCATCTAATGATGATGGATGGTCTTCCTCCAGCCAACCATTGGCCTCGCTACACTACTCTCCACACGCACTAAAGACAAAAAAAATTGGCAATCTGTTCTAGCTGTCCCGTTTTGCACCTTTGGAGAGTGATGGAGCGAGGCCCCATCTCTGCTCTGGAAACAGTTAGGCAAGGTGCCGAGAGGTGGAAGGCTGGAAGCAACCAACGGACAGCGACATCAACCGCGATTGGCCAATGGGCCTGGTGCCACCACTCTCGAAATGTGCAAAAGAGAGTGAAACTTCCTCTACAACATGGAAGGATACAGCGCCATGATTTTTGTCTTTTGTGAATGTCGGCCGTAGTGCAGCGAGGCCCAATGTATACAGTGGACCTTTCGCTTCAACGTATCCAGTCAACTTTTCGCAGAGGGCCACGAGGCCCGATACAGCAGCAATCGGGAGAGAGCAGCAGTGGACAGAAAAGCGAACCTGTCCTTCGGGACATCCGTTAAAATTGGAACGATACAGAGAAGATTAGCATGGCCCCTGCGCAAGGATGACACGCATAAATCCAGTAAAGCGAACCTGCTCGGGGCAAAAACCGAAAACCGACAAAAACCACGAGGAGAGGATGAAGCGGGTGGCGGAGCAGCAGATCTTCAGAGCGGACTTTGACCGTCATAGGGCCTCCCCGCACCACTATAGAAACGAAAAAAGTTCGAGTGCATCTTCACGCAGAGCGTGGCAAGATGCATCCGTTTCGAAACGAAAAAGTTCGAGATCATCTTCACGCAGAGCGTGGCAAGATGCATCCGTTACTATGAATAGAAACTGATGCATCTTACCTTTTTCTTAGGAAGATGCATCCCTTACTATGAATAGAAACTGATGCATCTTTCTTTTTTTCGTTTCGACAGTGGTGTGGCAAGGCTCATAGCCCGGAGAGCGTGTCCTCTACTGGAGTGGCGGGAAGAGGGTGCAAGGGCTCGAAATGCGAAAAGGACAAAATGCAGCGGGGGCATCTCGCCATGTTCTACCAGGAAGTTCATTCTCATTTTGCACATTTCGAGAAGGGCCTCGCTCCACGACTCACAAAAAGCTACCTTCTTCCCCCCAATACAACTTACGGTCATTGGTCTTGGCTCCACTACTCTCGATATGCAGAAAAGACAAAAATCATGGCGGTGAATCTTTCTATGTTCTAGCTGAAGATTCACTCTCGTCTTGCACATTTCGAGAGTAGTGGAGCCAGGCCCATTATAGCTGTATTTGAGCCGTCGTTCAGCCTAGGTTCAGCCTAGGTACAGCTGTAATTACCGTACGTTGTATTCGGGGGAAGAACGTAGAAGATGGGAGGGGATAATCGGTAGAAGGCGCCATGCCAAAACCTTTTCGGTTTTGGCCGCCCAAAGTTTAGCCGTTTGGTACTACCGGCCCGATGACTTGCATGTGCACGCGTCGCTCCAAGGGCCCTACTGGATCATGAATCTGGTGCATAAACAGAGCCATATTCATTTTCATGTAAAAGAGGCCGGGCGTGGTAACGCTGAAGTATCGAATGAGGCCCACGTACGCGATTTTGAAAAAGAAGGGCCCTACCGGTTCATGAATCTGGCGCAGAAACAGCGCCAAATTTTTGAACCGGTGAAAACAGGCCCAAGGAGATGTGGCCACGGCGCGAAGGCGCCTTTCACCAAGGGGAACGCTGTTTGGGCCGGTAGTACCAAACGGCCGAACTTTGGGCGGCCAAAACCGAAAAGGTTTTGGCGTGGGCTCTTTCTACCAATTATCCCAGATGGGAACGTATACCGCCATACTTTTTGTCTGTTGTGAATGTGGTGAGTAGTTGAGTGCCGTACCGGCGAGCCTACTACAGGCCTCGCTCCACCACTCACCAAACTTTTTCTTTTTCTTCTGTGAGTGGGGAGAAAGAAGAGGGGTTCCATTGCAATATAACAAAAATGAGGCCCGGAATCCCTCACAAACAAGCCGGGGTAACCATTCACCAGGCCAATGCCCAGCGTCAGTTTATCCGATCTTGGTTGGCCTTACGGCACTTGCAAAGTAAGGCCCAACGTAGATCTATCAAGCCCTCTGCTCTTCATCCTACCTTGGTTAGCCTATCAGTATATAAGGGGGAAAAAAACCTACGGAGGCCGATACTTCCCCTGGAGAAACTCCATCTAAACCACCTGACACTCCATCCCTTAAACCCAAAACCACCCATTCTGCCAGCCTACTGCGGCTGCTGGAACCGAGTGCACCTGGTTCTTAGTCCTGATCTGCTCTTAGCCAAGAACACATTTTTTAACTTACCATTCTTATCTACCTGAGCAAGCCAACTTTCTCCTCTACACCAGGTCTCCGTAAACCATCGATAGTTCCTCGGAACTTCCGCCCCCCACGGTTACTTGAGCTGCTTGAGCAGTTCTTCCGTTGCCAGACCGCCTTGATCTATGTAACCGTTTGAGCGCGCATTAAATT